CATGATAGAATTTTGCAAGATCAATGATTTGTTCATTGCAAATATCTTTTCAACAAGCAACAACTATACACGTGGACTTTACCAGATGGAATACATAGAGATCAGATTGACTACATCTGTGGCAAAAAGCGATGGAGAAGTTCAATATGTTCAGCCAAAACAAGGCCAGGAGCTGATTGTGGAACAGACCATCAACTGTTCATATGCATGTTCAAGTTGAAGCTGAAGACAATTAAAACAAGTCCTTGAGAGACAAAATATGACCTTAGTAATATCCCTCCTGAACTTAGAGACCATTTAAAGAGTAGATTTGATGCACTGAACACCAGTGACTGAAAACCAGAGGAATTGTGGGATGGCATCAAGAGCATCATCCATGAAGAAAGCAAGAGGTTATTAAAGAGACAAGATAGGAAGAAAAGACCAAAATGGATATCAGAAGAGACTCTGAAGCTTGCCCTTGAGTGGAAGGTAGCTAAAGCAAATGGACGAAATGACAAGACAAAGGAGCTGAACAGAAGATTTCAAAGAGCAGCTTGAGCAGACAAAACCAATTACTGTAATGAAATGTGCAAAGACCTGAAGTTAGAGAACCAAAAGGGAAGAACAAACTCAACATTTCTCAAGCTGAAAGAACTGAGGAAAAAATTTAAGCCTTGAGTAGCAATATTGAAAAGTAATATGGGCAAAATATTGAATGATGCAGGAAGCATAAAAAGAAGATGGAAGGAATATACAGAATCACTGTACCAAAAAAAAAAAAAAATTGATCAGTACTCATCCATTTCAAGAGGTGGCATATGATCAAGAACCAATGGTACTGAAGGAAGAAGTCAAAGCTGCACTGAAGGAATTGGTGAAGAACAAGGCTCCAGTAATTGATGGAATACCCATTGAGAAGTTTCAACAAACAGATGCCCCACTGAAGGCACTCACTCATCTATGCCAAGAGATTTGGAAGACAGCCACCTGGCCACCTGATTGGAAGTGATCCATATTTGTACCCATTTCAAAGAGAAATGATCCCACAGAACGTGGAAATTATCAAACAATATCATTGATATCACATGAAAGTGAAATCTTACTGAATATAATGCAAAAACCGTTGCAGCAGTATATTGACATAGAGCTTCCAGAAATGCAAGCTGGATCCAGAAGAGGATATGGAACCAGTGATATTATTGCTGATGTCAGATGGATCTTAGCTGAAAGCAAAGAATACCAGAAAAAGGTTTACTTATGTTTTATTGACTATATAAAAGCATTTGATTGTGTGAATCATAACAAATTGTGGATAACATTGAAAAGAATGGGAATTCCTGAATATTTGATTGTACTCATGAGGAACTTATATTTAGATCAGGAAGCTGTTGTTCAAACAGAACAAGGGGATACTGCATAGTTCAAAATCAAGAAGGGAGTGCATTAAGGTTGCATCCTTTCACCATACTTATTCAACTTGTGTGATGAGCAAATAATCCAAGAAGCTGTATTATATGAAGAAGAATGTGGCATCAGGATTCAAGTGCTGAAGAACAAAGATATCTCCTTGAAGAGTAAGGCACGCCTAACTCAAACCGTGGTATTTTTAATAGCCTCTTATGCATGTAGGAGTTGGACAATGAATAAGGTTGACAGAAGAAAAGTTGATGCTTTTGAGTTGTGGTGTTGGAGAAGAATGCTAAGGGCACCACGGTCTGCTAAAAGAATGAACAAATCTGTCCTGGAAGAAGTGCAGCCAGAATGCTCCTTGGAAACAAGAATGTTCAGACTTCATCTCACCTACTTTGGTCAGGTCAAGAAGAACCATTCCCTGGAGAAGGATATCATGCTTGGTAAAGTGGAGGGTCAATGATGAAGGGGAAAGCCCTCAACAAGATGGATAGACACAGTGGCTGCAACGATAGGCTCAGGTATAGCAAGGATTGTGAGGCTGGCACATGACTGAGCAGTGTTTCTTTCTGTTGTGCATAGGGTCACTATGAGATGACTCGACAGGACCTAACAACAACAACAGCATGTCTTAAATATTTCCACTTAATGCAGAGGGAAAAAAAAAAATGTCGAATGTGACCTTGACAGCCAAAGGTAGAGCTCAGGGGTGGGAAGACCTGGATAGCATGACCAACATGTTAATACCACAAACTTTTAAAGTCCTTGTTTGAATAAAATAGTTACAAAATAGAAGAAAAATACTCATGTGGATTTTTGCATTTTTTTGGATTATAGTCTTATTTTTTTAGAATTCTTCTGTCATGGTATATCTATCTGTAACAAAACATTTGTTGTTTCTACTTTCTTCACATGTATAATTCAGTAACATTATGTTCATCATGTTGTACAACCATCACCATTATTCATTTCCATTTTTTTTCTGTCACCTTTAGCAGAAACTCACTGTCCCCTAATATTAAAAAAAATATTTTTTCCTAAAACCTTGGGTCTAGGCTGCTGCTCCGTGAAGCTCTAACATATGCTTTTCTTCATTTTAAGTACCCCATGACTGTTACTGGGAATCCTCAGTTACAAATACTTTAGTTTGAAACTAAGAGTGAGGGGTACCAGGCTCTTTTTCGTCTTGTCCCCCTCACACCTGTTCTGAAATGCCATCTAAGTTTTGTAGTTTCCTGTCCTATCACCTAAGCAATCACTCTGGAAGTAAACTCCCCATTTCTTCTTTATTAGGAGGAAAAGATGCAGTCCCCTGAGGACTTTGTATTTTCTAATTCCAGGATTTAAAAAAATGAGTGAATGATTCTATTTTCCTTAGAGGGAAAGTTTTTCTTCAGAAGTGATTTGAAAGTATTTTTTGTTTGTTTGTTTTATAAGGAACAATTGGTAGAGTTTTACTGTTGATTTGCAGCAGCTAAAGGTGGGGTAACACTTTTTTAAAATACCAAGTGCTCTGAAATCCAGAAGGGGAGAAGGATTCTTACACAGGAAGGCTGGGAGTTACACATGAGTCACAAGTACTCTCTGGGAGCTAACTACATCAGCAAGTTTTCTGAGTCACAATCTTATACAAACACTTTTTGAGGGGAACATTCTCATCATTCACTTCTGGAACATTCTTATCATTTGTTTAACCATAAACTATAACTTTGTCTACAAGTATTCTTTATGAGAACAAAACATTTTTAATCATGGTTTGAAGTAAGAATAAACACACTCATTAATTCTGGGGTGGACGATGGTTCAGTTATTATGATTCAGACTTATGTCCATTATTTAGTCATGCCAGGTGCCTCAGTTTTTCTTTCTTCATTCATTTTTCACTTTTTTTTTTTTTTTTTTAATGTGGCTTGGGTGAAAGTTTACAGAGCAAGTTAATTTTCAATTCAGAAATTTATATATTTTTTTTTGTTTCATGATATTAGTTGCAGTCCCCTCAATGTAACTGCCCTCTTTTCATTTCCTCCCTGCATTCTCCATGTCCATTCATCCTGCTGTAGTGTTCTTTCTTGCCTCCTGAGCTTTGTTTTTGGGCAAGCGTTGTTTTGGTCCTGTGTGGTTGAGTGTTCTGAAGATTATGTTCCTCATGGGTATTACTGTTCATGTTATAGATCTATTTGGCTGGAAGGTGACCACCCAGCGATGAGCTCAGTCAGTTTGAAAGATGTCTAAGGGCCATGTTCTCAGAGGTTATACCAATCTCTATTAGACCAGTAAGCCTGGTCTTTTTTACGATTTTTAATTTTCTTCAACATTTTTCTGCCACTCTGTACAGGACCTTCTACTGTGATCCCTATTGAGGGGTCAGTTGTGGTAGCTGAGCACCATCTAGTTTTTCTGGTCTCAGAGTAGTAGAGGCTGTGGTTCATGTGGTGTGTTAGTCCTCTGAGTCTTTGTTTCTTCACTCTGGTCCATATGGGGAGGAATTTTTGCATTATTTGGAAATATTTTGTTGTAGACCTTTAAAACATGAGCTTTAGGTTTTGCACCATCCATGGACCTGATGATTATCACTTCTTGGTGATGAATTTTCTCATTATGATAGTGAAGTCATCAATAAGTGTTGAAAGCAGGACAGTGCAGTCTCAAAGCATATGTTTTGCATGTCTGTAAGAATGTCACCAGAGAGCATTGGTGGTTCAGTGGTAGAATTCTCACCCTCCACCTGGGAGACCTGGGTTCAAATTCCAGCTAATGCACCTCATGTCCAGCTACCACATATCTGTCAATGGAGACTTGAGGGTTGCTATAATGCTGAACAGGTATCAACAGAGCTTCCAGACTGAGGCAGAGTAGGAAGAAAGGACTGGCTTGACAATCTACTCCTGAAGGTCAGCCAGTGAAACTACTGATCACAATGGTCCTATCCATAACCCATCATATGGATAGCACAGAGCCAGGCAGCATTTGGTTCCATTGTGCATGAGGTTGCCATGAGTCAAGGGCCAGTGCAACAGCAATTAACAGCAAGAAAGTCATAACAAAAGAAGGTTCTGGTCACTGGAACTGGAATATATTTAATCAGTTCCACTAAAGTTGTTGAAAGGAACATTCAGTCAGAATTCAGTGAAGAGATGTTTCCAGGCTATTCATTACATCAATGTAATGCTATTCATTAAATAGGAGTAGAACATCCAAACCATTCACATGAGGGTCAGGAGATGAAAGACTGAATAAACCCTTTTTCTTCCCCACTTGGAAGGCATGGTTTCTTGATGGACTAAGTGGTTGACAGACATCCAGCTCAAAAAATATACACTAGGTTTTCCTTGTGGGATCATCATGGAGAATTGAGTGTTGACAAGCCTTATCCTCCTGTGAGTGATTTCTACCCGACTTCCTTCCCTGTTATTCTGGTTAAGGGCTCACTCCTGTCTCTTGTCCCAGACTTTCAAGGATCATGTTCATCTTGAGGATACCTTGATATGTCTTAAGTTTGGGCCATTCAGTGAACAGGAATGCGATAGCCCAGTGGCTGCCGGAGGATCCTTGTGGGTCGGCTAATTGCATATATTTTTTCTTCCCCCTTTTCAATTTTCTTATGGAAGACATGCCTTCTTCAAGAGCACCTTGAAAATGTCCAGAAGGAGTTCATCATTTTCAACAGAGAAAAGTGAGTAGCTCTTGGAAGAACAGCAGCCCAGCAAACCAGTGTTTCACCCAGATTTTACTTGTCAAACCTTAATATCTTAGAACATTTTTTTATTCTGTCTAATTACAAAAACTTTATTCTTTCTAATTACAAAACTTCAGAAGGAAAATGGGGCAATCTACTTCCGTAGTGATACTGCCTCAGAAACCGAAGGAGGGGTCGCTATGAGTCGGGTCCAACTAGACAGCACATAACAACAACAAACAAATTAGAAAAATGATGCACACACAGAATAGAAAGTGTAGAAAACTCAGAAACTCTTTGTTTTTCTTTAAAGGCTTTTTAAATTATAATATGTAAATGAGTCTAGCATCAAGTTTCTGCTTGAAAAGGGGAGAGGAATTGGGACTCAGGCACTTAAACTCAATGACACAAACTTTCCTTAGCTCCTACCTCTTTTTGAATTGTTAGACTTAATGCTATCATTTCAAAACTTACTCTTTTTTTTTTTTTTTTTTTTTGCCTTTCAAACCATTAAACTCTGTTTGTTTGTTTGTTTTTTTCCTTTTAGAGTAAAAAGGGACTTTATCCAAAGGCAAGCAAATCTAGTCTTGGAACAAACCAAAGACCCACAAGAGGAGGATGGACAGAATAACAACCTGTGAAATCCATGGAGTCTTTTTGGGATACTTCTTGGCTCCTCCAGCCTGGAACTTCTGCCTATCCATGTCAGAAAGAGCTGACAGTAGTTCTCACCACACCTCATGACTTAGAAAATATGAATGGATATCTTTCAAAGGAAGTAGCAAGATATAGTGAAGAATCCTGAGCCTGGGCTTCTGGGATCTAGTTTTACTTCTAATATGTAACCTTGAACCTTAAGTTACTTAATCACTTTCTCTGCTTCAGTTAATTCATCCATAATGAAAGAGTTATATTAGATGAGCTCTACACTGATATTTTAGTGCTAACATTCTGTTATTATAAACAGCCTTTATTTTTAATTAGAAATGAATATTTTAATGTAGATTTAATTTTTCCAGTCTAATTACACTGTGACAAATGGAAAAATGGACATAGGACTGAGTGAGGCTCTTCATAGCTGGAAAAGTTCATAAAGAGATCCTTCAGCCTGATTGAATAGGAACAAAGGATTCCATTAGGAAGAAATGAATGGGGGCCAGGCTGGAAGCCACGTAGATTCAGGGGAGCCTCCAGTGATGTGCTGGAGTCAATTTGTATTAGCTAGGAAGAGACTGGTATGCACAGTTCTTCCCAATTCCATGTTCAGTGATGTGAAGTTGGTACCTTGAGATTGGTAATAGCGGGGGTATTTACACCATGGAAATTGGCCAGTTCTACAAATGAGAGCTTATTTTCCCCTGCCCAGCAAGCTGGCTGTTAAACATTTGTCAGCATATCCCTGGCCTTCTTCCAACAAACTTGCTCCTTGAGGGCTAATTGTCCTCTGAAGATAAGAGACCTGGTGTGGAGAGGATAAAGAATAGTATCACCTTGAAAGAATGTCTGCTTTGTAGTACAAAGTTGCATCTTACACCAAGGGTTATATCCTAAGTTAGAATATGAGGTGAACTTAGAAGATAGTAAAATTCACTCTTGAAAAATCCCTTAAATTACCCAGAAAATACAGTGAGTACCTTTTCTCAGTGAAGCTCAGAACAGTGAGTCATCCTTCAATAATTAATCAACTTTTTTTAAAAATTGTTTTTATTTTTTTCTTTATTTTTATTTTTGATCTTGTTTTTGGGTAATACCAAATGAAGTCAAGTGTTGAACAGATTCTATTTCATAAACTGGAGTTACACTGAGAATAGTAAGGAGTTCACACATCTGAGACGCCTGGAGACCCAGAAGAGAAAGGACACAGAAGTACCATGTCTCCACCTTGTGCTTACTACAGGAATGACGGGAAAACAGCATACTTACTTAAAACATGGATGTCTCACTCTTTTTATTTATTTGCCAAGCACAGCTTAATTCACCTAAGTTCAATGTGTAATGATGTAACACCATTGTACTGATACACAGAAAAGCTTTACAGAGGGACAGTTTTTGGCAGTCCAAGATGTTAAAAGTAGAGAGTAGAGAAGTGAAGAGGCTTGGTGGAGGGTTGGATTTACCTCTTGGCCATTCAGATGACCCAAACCCACCCTGACCAATGGAGGGTTTGGGGACCACCAAGATGGTAGTAAGTTGGCAACTGGGAAGACTAGATTGCTGCCTGTTTGGCAAATAGTTAGCAAACTATGCTAGGTTTTCCCAGGAGGGATATCACACCAGAGCAATTAAGCATGGAGAGTCAACCAGTGCTGAACTTTAAATGAACATTTACTTATTTTTCCTCACTGAGCTAATAGTCCTGGAATTTCCAGGAGACCTGTGAAATGGTGCCTCTGTATTCTAAGAGCACCCATATTTGAGTCAACAATGAAAGCCAGCTCTTTTGTTCTTGTTTGCTTGATTCCTTTTCTCTACATTCCCCACACATTGTTTTTCTATGCTACTTTCTATTTCTCTAATTACTGCAAACCCTAAGTGCTTGCTTCACCTCCTTTTGTACAGAGAGGGGGATGGGTTGAAAGGAGCAATAAGGCATTCAGATTCTCCTTGAGGCTGGCAAACCCCAAAGTGGCAGGGGACATTTGCATGTTTTCCACCTGCCATCTTTGTTTTGGTTTAAACCCTAGTGTGGATTTGTCCTCCCCAGTCACCCACTTAATGTGCAGGAGGGGCTTTGGGAAACTCTTACCAAAGGGCTTGCATGGGGCATTAGGGTTTCTGTAGTGAAGGGAGGGATCATTTGTTCACATAAATTACACATGTTCCCATCCTTTGTACTGGGAGAGGTGCCCAGCACAGTCTCTGTTAGAATCCCTCATTTTAATGTCCAGTGAGCTGCTCTGTGTCTGCAGCTGCCCTATGGGATTTTAGAGACTATGGATGCACTTATTAGATAGTACAGCCTTGGAGAGCTCAGGGAAGATGGCTTTCCAATCCTACTCATGCTAAACACACACAAACACACACACACATTTTCTCAAGCTTGGTGTTGTTATAGAAAACATGAAACACTGCTTTTATTAGTACAAAATTGATTTATAAGTGCCTTTTCATCACTTGACATTTTAAACAGAGAAAGCATTTCCAAAATAGAAAATTTTTTCTTAAATCATTACCATGACTTCTAGTTGTTGTGATCAGATCCCTTACTTTTATTTCCTAACTTGAGCCATAAATTAATATCCCACTGGGTGGAACATGTCTAGATTTGTGACAACTAAGGCTTAGGGCTGAGGATTTTAAAAAGAGTGCCTACTGAATTATCTTGTCTAGTATTCCTGGTATCTTTTTCTCCTTACAGCTGTCTTCCTCATCTATATGGGTCAGTTGAAAAGTCTGAGCAGGTTCTGAAGACCAGAAGCATCCTACTTAGAACGCTATTGCGTTGCAGCATGGACCAGCCTCCCTTAGTGAATTCATCCTGCCCTCTGGTGGATGG